TGCCGGCTCTACCTTCGACTGTAGAAGTTGGTGATTCGAGCAACGAACCGGTCCGATGTCCCTCATACTACTCTAGAAGAATTACAAGCAGTTGTGAAATGCGTGTTTAGTAGGAAGAAAAAAACACAGGATTAGTTTTGTGTGTTTTAGGACATTAAGTATTTTTGATGGATTTTGTTTGGTTTAGATGTTTTTTTTTTTTAATTTAGTTTTATATGAATTTTGATTGTTTTAAATGGAATATTTTTGATAATTTGCAATTTCTATTTTTTTTTTCCAAAAACACTTAGAATATGTTGTTTATGTTACATTGAAATAGATTTGGGGTTAATTTCACAAAAAAAATAAAAATTGCAAATTATCAAAAAAAAAAATCCATTTAAAACAATCAAAATCCTCTTTTTTCTTGGTCTTTGATCATCTTCACCGAGTACCTTCTTGCCAGCATAAATGCCCCCACGCTCACAACAAACAATCACACACGGTGTCCTACGTCCTCTATTCCCGTCACTCAAACACGCAATCATTAACACCATTCCAATTCTTTTACATACTTCACGAACTCATGCCAATAAAGCTTCTTTTGTTGGGAATTTTTCTGACGTGGTAAATGAATGGGTGCAATCGATCTACACAAAAGTGGAGAAAATATTAGACAAGTAAATTTGCAACATGAAACAATTGACACGTGAGTGTCGAAATTGCCCCCGATTATCGACCCTCAATTTATCCAATCAAAGGCCATCTTGGACCGTGAAGCGTCGTATATACTATCCCATTTCAGTACTACAATCCCTTAAGTGTCGAATATGACTTATATAATAATTGATATTATATGTGTTCGACGGGTAACTGTCGAATTTCACCACTATTTTCGACACTTAAGTGTCGAAAATGAGGATAAATTCGACAGTTACCCGTCGAAAAGATATAATATCAATTATTATATGTGTTTCGACACATACATGTCGAAAAATAAACACAATTTCGACCTGTATGTGTCGAAATTTGATGGCGGATTTAAAAAAAAAAAAAAAAAAATCAAAATCGACGTTTTAGCTAAAAAAATACATGGATACATACCTTAATGGGTTCTTCTTGCTCGTAAACTACCATTCTATTGTCATTTGACGCCATTTTGCAAGTTGTGTAAGGTTTTGATTTCTTTAGTTTTGAGGTTTTTTAAGAGAATTTTTGGGGGAGGGAGAAGAAGGAGGTGGAGGAGGTGAGGGGTTTGTGAGTGAGGAGGGAAATTATTTTTGAGGGTTTTGAATTTTTTGATTATTTGGTATTAAAGAAAGAAAAATAACATTTGTAATATTTTTTTGGTTTTGATTTTCATTAAGGGTATTAAAGTAATTTACATTAATTATTTATTTTTTATTTTTTGATATTCAACTAAGCAAAAGTTAAGATTTTTTATTACGATCCCCATATTATTATTATAAATACGTTTAATTATGTATAGAATTAGTTAAAATTAAGGATAAAACCAAGAGTAGATAGATATTCATAAAATGGTTAAATGTTGAGTCAAAATATTTAATTGAAAACCAAGAATATGCATGTGAGGTCTTTATGCTTAATTAATAATAGCCCCTCCTAGAGACCTATAGCTAATTTCCCCTATTAATAACTGCATATGTCTTATCAATATTATTTTATCATCATTATTTACATTTTAATATAACATAAAGTTAATTCTAAATATTGTAAAAGAAAATAGTCTTCCAAAACAACATCTAACAAATCTGTCGTCAGAACCAGTGAGGTGGGCCAACCGGCCAAGTGGTGGCCGTTTCATCTACATATTTTTTTAATTTTTAATTTTTAATTTTTAATTTTAATCTTGTTCACACAGGTTTTTTTTTCCTCTTATTTTAATTTTTAATGTAATTCCACCCATTTACCATCTCTTTAACTTTATTTATTCTAAATAAAATTCCTAGATTTCACTTTCATATTTAAATTTATTACATTTGGTGTTGTTGAATTTCTAAATTTGAATAACAATTTTTAACTTTTATAATTAAATTATGAAAAATCATCTAAACTAAAAATTGGTACATAAGTTTGTCTTGAAATTGAAAAATAGAAGTTTCTACCTGGAGTATATAGTTTTGGGTGGTTTTTGTAAACTAACACTAAAAATAGTGGAACAATTTGATCTGACAAAGCTTCACAAATCCAGGAAAACCGAGCGTCTATGGTAAACACTAGTTTGAGATATGAAAAACTCATGTTTCGACGATTAATAATGCAATATTATAGCAAAATAAAAATTTAAAAGAAAAAGACAGGATTCATGCTAATTTTAATTTTATTAAATTAAATATCATACGTTTACTAAAATGCATAATGTATTTATCTAGTCCCTTTTTTTTCCGCGTACATTTTGGAAACATAAACAAGTAACATAACTTCTAAAATATCCTCTAACTTCCACAAACTCTAGATCTCTCTCAAACATTTTTCTACTTGAGATAAAAAAAAAAAATTATAAGTTGGAAACATGGTTATATCTGGGCCTACTTTTTATTTTTATTTTTTGTTTTGTTTTCGTTTCCAGAAATAAATAAGTCTTGGCGCAAAACGCACAAATCCACAACACAGAGGCTTCAGGCTAAGCCCAAGCCACTCAAGCCCATTGAAGACCCATGCGTAAAATAAAAATTAGTCGGTGTATTATTCATTCAGTCAGTATAGCATCTACAAAACCGTCAGACATTGAATATTAATCAAGTACGCTTCGCCGAGCTCAACTATAAAAATACAACGTCATTTCCAACAGTTGAAAGTAGTAGTTCCATGCAATAAATCTATAAGCTTTCAAGCTTCATTCTACACAAGATACCCGTCATCTAATATTTCATTTGTGTTGTACAAAATAAGATTTTCGGGTACATGAATCACGATGCAGCTCTGTTCAGTGGTCGGAAAATCGTCACGATTCACAATCAACCTCCATTTCCTTATATAATATTCCTATTTTTATACCAAAAAAAAATATAAAAGTGCTATAACGTAAATTAAAGTAACTAGTAGCAAAAAAAAAAAAAAAAAAAAAAAAACAGAAGGTTGAGATAAATAATACTCATGCATGTAGGTAGGTGATGAAATTTTATAAAATCTTGGGTAGTGATATTTTGTAGAGAGAGAAGAATTACGAGTCCCAATAAAATGAGTCGGGACTCGGTGTAGGTAGCGTTGATAAAGACAAGAGAGCTATATTAAAAGATTCATTGATTCAAGAGTTTCGACAAATGAGTCAGGTTCATCACTACACCATTCACATTAGGCAGCGACTATTTGCAAGACGAAAGTTACTTAGTGCAAGACCAAATTAATTTTTTTTATTAAATTCAGTATAAAAAGACTATAATAACCTTAATAAAATACAAACAAAATAAAAATTATTTTATTAATTTCCTTTTGCAAGACCAATTTAAAAAAGAAAAATTAATAAAAAAAGAAAGAAAAAAGAAATTGAATTGAGGATTGAAAAACGAGGAGGGAAGAAGGGAAGAAGAAAACAAAAAAATCAATTGCAGCACTCAACCGTCGCCCCGTCGCCGTCGCCGTCGCCGTTGAAGTCCACCACCTCCCCGTCGCCGTTGAAGTCCGTTGTTGCCCCAACCCCGCCACAACAATCTCACGAAAAACAAGTAAGGAAATTACTTTTTGAATTAATTTTTTTTGAGAAATAAATGTGATAAACATGATTTTATTGTTAGAATAATGAATTCAAGTCATTTTAGAACATAGTTGATGATTCTAGGGTTCGATTGTAGCACTATTGTTGAAGGAGTTGCGGTTTTACAAAAAACGACCTGTACTTGTCGATTTTTTGGAAATTTTTCGACATACTGGTGTCGATTTTTGAAAAATCGACACACCAGCGTCGAAATATGCGCTTCATATCGACACCAGAATGTCGAAAATTTCAATATAATTCGACAGTTATGGAGTGTCGAATTATGTTGAAATTTTCGACACTACTGTGTCGATATTAAGCGGATATTTCGACCTGTACATGTCGAATTTTTTGTACGTGAAATGAGGTGCGAAAAACGAGAAAAACGATCACAAAGTACAATATTTCTTACCTCTTTGTGTTCTTCGACCTTAGAATCCTCCATATTTATGTCTTGTGTATCCATAATGTCCTTCTTTTCAAGTTTTAGTAAAGATTTGAGGGTTTTATGTGATAAGGATTTTGGAGAATATGGAAGATTTTTTTGTGGAAAAAAATGTGTAAAATGAGGGTGAAGAAGAAGATGTTGGTGTATTGTTGGGGGAGTGAGTTCCCTCTCTTTTTTCCTTTTTTTTGTATTTTTTTTGGTCTTGCAATAGCAATTAGCTTAATTTAAATTAATAATATCTAAATTATTATTGGGGTTATATTTGTAATTTTCAGTCTTGATCTTAGTAAATTTATTTATATTTCGGTCTTGTATGAAGTAAGGTCTTGCACTTAGTAATTTTCGTCTTGCAAATATTCGTTGCCTTCACATTATCCTTGCACTGCACATGTAAATTATTTTTATTTTTTTTTAAATAATTAAATTAACATACTGTAAATATCAAAAAAATTATTACTAATTACTACTGACATAAAAAGGCTGATTAAAAAGAACTGGGGGTGGGTTCCAGTTACAATTAAATTGCTAGTTATGATTTTTCTTTTTTCTTAAATATTAATTATTATTATAATGAAATTCGATTCCCCCACACGAATAGAGATGTCAGTGTCCCTTAAGGGATGACCTAGTAGTTGGAGTAAGTGAATTTTGTGTCAATTGACCAAAGTTCGAATATTCTTGTCAATTATCACTAGGTAGAGTTTGTCACACATAGTTAGCCTAGCGTGGTTTACGTTTCTCGTACGAAAATGTATGTTTACCCAGTGCACCTGCATAGTTCGTTGCAGATTAATTTATTAGTATTGAGGGCCACTTGCTAAATGTTTATGAATACTACATTATCATGACATGGTGGGGTTCATACTTTGACTTTTCATAAGAATTCAAGATTCAAAAATGTTTTCAACAAAATTACAACAAGTAACAAGAGTAGACAAGTCTACAATTATAGATGCAAACAATGAAAATTTCGAAAGAACAATTCGGATAAATTAGTGCAATTTCGATTGGGGTTCAAGATTCCACCAAAAGCCGCCTATCGTATGTTCATCTATCGAACTGCTACTACATTCCACTCCCGGAAAAAAAGAACCAAAAAAACAGAAAAAAAAAAACCGATGCACAACACCAAATATTGTTATCTTGTTAATAAACATAAGGAAGTATCCTCCAAGGAACCAATTTCCTGTACTCTGCCCATATTTCTTTGTACTTTTGCGCACATCGGGCTTCGTCTCTTCTCTCTCTCCATATTAGCAGAATGAAAAGGTATATAGGATAAAAATACGGAACTGGAGAACTGCATAAATACGTTATATGAAACATTAAAACCCAATTACTGCAGTGTTTCCAATAGTGTTGTAAAATATATAGTGCAGAAAAATTACCTTATCCCACAAGGTAAACTGAAGGATAGAGCAACCAACAAGTCTCCAAGATAGTTACTATGCCTAGCAATTCCCCTGAAATGGTAATAATTATCGAGTATTAATAAGTTAAATGAGCAGCATCGATTAATTTCAAATCCATTTTAACTCGTCTAACTCAAGAATCTAATCGAAAGATGACAACTTACCAATAACCCGAAGCAAGCAATTTTCCCCCGATGACCTTTGGAGGGCTACCCCATATTAGTGCTTTGGGGTTCTTTTTGAAAATATGCTTCTGCTTGTTAGCTCCTCTAAAGACTAGATAGCTTCTCAATCACAAAACAAGCAATGTGAGCCGATAATAAAATTTCCGCACGGGAAGAAAAGTAGATAGCATCCCGCACAATTGGTATAGTAAGAGACGAAAGTGAAATATTACCCAATTAGGAATGCAAGACAGTTTGCAATAATAGCAGCAGTTGTTAGCTCCACGTTGTTGTTTAGAAGCCACCAACCCTTGTCAAATATGGAGAGAGAAATAAATAACCCAATAACACGCACAAAGAAACATATGGTTTCTTATTAGTAACTACTCCAGCATCATAAATATGGCTTGAACCAGAGTTACGAGAACGATTGGTAATCACGAATGAACCTCACTGGCAAATGTAAATTGCAGGGCATGCAGCTCAGAATGAAATGGATAAAGGGTTCACCTTTCAAATAATGCACTAAATAAAGTGACAAATTGAGCAGTAGTCGCAAACTGCATTATGGAATTCAAAAGACTAAACAGAAATGATATATAGATTATATCCATCACATCAAGGAACGAGAACCGAATCATTATAAAATTATTTTCCTGGGAAATTAATTTTTGTTTATTATATATATTTGCCACATTGGTCATAATGTTCCGTGGAATATCTAGTCTTAGAAACTAGAAAATGATTTAGAAGCTGATTTTAGAAACAATAATTTAATTCAAAAGCTGTTTACATATTTCATACATACAAAGCCAATAATACCAAAACACTTCATTAAAGGAAAATGCATTTGTGGTATACCTGGATACTGAATGTGAAAGGAATCCAGACGAGATCTCCAAACACCAGCATGAACCCCAATCTCTCAGCAATTATATCCCATCTAAGAAGATGCCACGTCAATTCAGGTCAACAACTCGTTGGATGTGAATGAAATTCCAACAACTAAATCAAACTCAACTGAAAAAAAGAGGGGATATATTTGAACTTTTATGTAAACAAGGGAGACCCTTATTACTAATCTGAATAATAGGGAATATGAACCTGCAATATGAGAGAGTAAAGATACCACATAACGCAAAAAAATTGTACATTTTTTCTACTTACGTGGAGGTCATGTACTCTTCATAAAAGAAGTAATCCAGAATGTATAGCTACATTGAGAAAAGAAAAAAAATAAATTCTAAAAAAACAAAAAAGAAACATCTTCGGAAATAAAACATGTGAATAGTATCAACTTACCACACAAAATATCTGGTAAAGAATCATTGATACGCTTAAGTTGACCTGTTGAATGCATTTCGCAAGAACAGAAAGATTTATAAGAAGCCATCCCATCATACCAGCTCTAACAAAGAAGAACCTACAGAAGAGATTGCACTAACGATAAGAAAATATGATAGCGCGAAAAAAATTACATCATATGATATATCATAGGATTCATCCTGGTGAGAATTTCCTGGAATAGCCGATAAAGTGAACGTAACAATCTGATAAAAATTACAGTAATTGATTTGTAACAAAATGAATGCAAATAATATCTTTTGATGAGTTATATTTGACGACTGTCTAAGGTAAAGGAATCCCAGTATCTCAGTCAGGAAACGTACTTCAGGTCGATTCCGATGAACTGAGGATTCAGCTGTATTCCGAACCACCTGTGAGATGACATTGTACAATATCAGCGTCGAAAGAGCAGATTAATGATTGATTTGACTTCAAAAAAATGTTTGGAGATATAACTTGCATAGGTGGACAAAAATACAAAATAACTTTGTACAAATGATCTGTTTTCTCCTTTTTCAATATTTTTCTTCAGGGGTAACTTCTCTTCATGCATAGAGGCGTATTAAGATTGTTCATAGCCCTACGTCAACAGTTATCTAAAGTATTATTCATTTAGACGGTAGACGGGCCTCTAGGAAGAAATCACAGTGTTGTTTGATTAGGAAAGGAAATTAATCGATAATCTTGTATTTGAAGTACTCCAATGGAACTATTCTATCATGCATATAGGCTAGAGAAGCATGAAGGTCAGGAAATCAATAAGCTCTACTTAATATGTCTACCCCTTGGGAAAAATTCTAATTGGGTTGCTTTAAGGATGACAACTTCAACACAAGAAAAAAAAGAAAAGATTATTTCCAGAGGGAGCCTACTTTTCTTGAAGGAAATCGAAAGGAAAACCTCAGATCGTAACTGGTTGATCAGCCAACCGTTGAAGTTTAGGAAAGAACTCCACGAGCTCTTAAAAATTTGATACAATAACCAATTAGTCACTTAAACACTACTTCACTACACTAATAATGTAGAAGCAATTTGGACTTCAGCAATCAAAAAGTAACCTAAAATCCAGTATAAACCTCAAACGGAAGTAGTGGGGGAAAGAAAAATACTTTCTTCAGGTTGTCAGCAAAATAGAAATATACAAAATTCTATTTCTATTTTGTATATTAAACATAATACATACAATAATCAAACATAATACATATGATACAATATCCAAATATATTCTCAGTCTAATACTACATTACCTACCAGTCATGGATTAAGTTTCCAGTAATGTGAGGTTTCAGAGAAGAACTCTGATCGCGGGATCTGCAGCCAGCGATGTAAAGAAGTAACGTCACCTGGAATTGACACACAAACTGAGAAACAAAAGCCAACACAATATAGCCATTGCAAGGTGATTATAACTTGTTATGAGGTAATGGCTATGAAAGACAATGAGACACTTAATATTCAATCTCTAGCATTTGTGATAGCGCTGCATAATTTCATGCACTTTCTTCGAGGATTGGTCATTCATATATCGATCCATCTATCTGTCATGTATGCTTACACTTGACTGTACATTATCTATAATATTAATTCCAACAACGGAAACAATTTTATTTCAGAGTCACTTTAATGTGACTTATTGAAGAACCATGTTAGCGGAGCGGATGCAATTCAACGAGTCTAATTAATATGTCAATAAGGTAACAAATTTAAAAAAAGTTTCGATCTTGTTTACTACGATGACTTAGTTATGCGCTTCCAAATGAAGAAAACGAAACAAGCAATCAAACCTTGAACTTACAAATAGACTGAATATAAGAGTAGTCGATAAAAGCTCAAATCCTCTGTCAGCAATTGCCTGCAGCGAGTACGAAGAAACGAATAGGTATCATGACTTAGGTTACTATCACTTTAAAAACGCACAAAAAATAACTACCTGTTATATCATCAAACACATTGGAGACGAGCAACTGAGTAAAAATCTATATAAAAAAATATATATATACAATACTCACAGTGGGTGATACAAGATCCATCCAACCGCCCACTCCAAGTAGAGAAATCAACAAGATAAGCAATAGCGAACCTTCAAAAAAAAAAAAGAAAACCGAAAAAATTGAAATCGAAAAATCCTGAAACGCCATCATTCGAACTAAAACTGCAAGCAAAAAGAGGGGTGGATGTTGCATTTCTGACCGTTGCAGCGGTAATGGAGGCGAGTGCCGTCGGATAAAGTCGCTCCGGGAACAACTCTTCCCGGTAAAATAGATCCGGCGATCGCCAAGTAAGTGAAAAACGCCATCAGCATAGCGACCTATTCCCCAAAGAAATTACACAGTAAAACTAGTCGTTACAATTAGAGAGAGATAAGGACATACACCAATCCATACACAGAGAGAGAGAGAGAGAGAGAGAGAGAGAGAGAGAGAGAGAGAGAGGACTGACCGAAGTCCATGACGGAGTGAAGGCGTGGAGAAGAGCGTTGAGATCCATCGCCAATCTCTCCGGCTTCCTTCTTTTTACTTCCCGGCGACTGATTTCAAGTGCCGCCTAGCTTCGCTGATCCAGTTTATCAAACAGCCTCCGCCTTTATTTTTTGTATATTATAAATATTTATTGGGTAAATTACACATACACCCCTGAGGTAAGGTTGAATTACGAAAAAAACCCACATGTTTGGGTAATTACAACTACCCTAAACTATGAATCTTCTTACATGTCCACCCTTGTGGTGTCAAATTCAACAGATTCTGTGGAATGTTCTCTAGTTTGTACTCTCAATAATATAATTTCTGATGAACCACAATCTGATATATACAAGCCAAAAAACGAATCTTATGATCATCTTGCTTCAAAATGTGGAGCTAGAATGGGATAAAACGGGTACAAACTTGAGAATATTCTATATAATTTAGAAAATTCCACTAAATTTGACATCGCAAAGGTGGACGTGTAAGAAGATTCATAGTTGAGGGGTGGTTGTAATTACCCAAATACGAGGGCGATTTTCATTATTTGACTTTACCTCATAGGATTGGCCGTAATTTACCCTATAATTATTTATTTTAGGCTGCTTTTGGGGTTTTTTTTTCACTTAATTTTCTATTTCTTTTATGTTCCAAATTTTGGTTTTTTTTTTTTTCGTTAAGTGTTCCAAATTATGTTGAATATACTAATGCTATCATATGGTATGGTAAGATCCACAAGTCTCAGTGTAAATGGACTGAACCAGCTCGATAAAAAGTCATATATGAATTTTTCGGACTTGGTTGTTCCAGAGCTCACGAATCAACTTGCAAGCTTTTTAATTTTTTTTAATTTTATTAAATTTAAATTATAGAAATAATATGAATCTAATAAATACATTAAAACTTAATTTCTAGTTCATTAATTTATAATAATATTAATATAAATCTCGAGATCGAGCTCAAAGTGTTGATTTCTAAATGTCTATCAAAGTCCACTCATCTGTTGAGACATATTACATGTTACGACATTAGGTGACGTAACATAATTGTTGTGTTGTCACAGTAATAAATCTACGAAAAGCAGAATAAAGAACACAACAATTTAATGTGGTTCGGATACAAATGTACCCTACATCCACGAGGACTTGCAAAACTAGTTCAGATTTAAGTGTACATTAATAGGACTTAATAAAACACTAAAGACTCCCTCTTTATGTGATACGCCGTTCTTGCACACGACTCGAACTTGTTGATAATCAAAGCAATTCCTCCTCCGCACTCTTGGACTTCCTCCAATGTTGAACTTCCTTCAAACGGCGGATCGACCTCTCCCGAGATCTTTTAAGCACTTCTCCCGAAACGCCGATCTTCTTTATGGCCTGGTAGAAGAAACCTGTTTTGTTGCCACACCTGCCGTGCAGACAGGGCTGCAGCACGGGCTGTACCCTTCAAAGCCTTTATGCTGGGATTTTTCTTATTAAAGCTCCATGTGACTCATATGAGGTTGAGGGCCTTATATAGGCACGAAATCCACCACCCTAAACCTAACTTGAGCCCTAAGAAATCGATTAACTAGGTAATAGAATCCTAGTCGATTTCTACTTCTATTCTAGATAAATACAAAAGATTCCTAACTAGAATACAATACATGGAAATAAATCTAAGTCCTAATAACAATATTACAAAAATAGGACTCTAATTAATTCCAAAATAAACATGGAAAACAAATCTTTGCCAATCTTTAATTTCCACGTATGGCGGATTTCTTCAATCTTCACTAACGGAAATTTGGTGCCAACAATCTCCCCCTTTGGCATAGATTGGTTAGAATCCATGTTTAACAAGAACTCCCCCTGCAGATGAGATTTACTCCCCCTGCAACAAAGATATCACTTTTCTTCACCCGTATTGGTCTTCTATCAGAGTGTCCCATCACGGGGCACGTTACAACGCAGCGGAATTGGGTGAATGCCGTGACAGACTTCTGTCTCAACCTTCCTTGTGAACACACGTCATCCAATAGGCAAAGCAAACAAATCAAAACCCAAAATCGGACACTAAGTATATCTAGTGACCCGCTCTGATACCAATTGTTGATTTCTAAATGCCTATCAAAGTCCACTCATCTGTTGAGACAGACTACATGTTACGACATTAGGTGACGTAACAGAATTGTTGTGTTGTCACAGTAATAAATCTACGAAAAGCAGAATAAAGAACACAACAATTTAATGTGGTTCGGATACAAATGTACCCTACATCCACGAGGACTTGCAAAACTAGTTCAGATTTAAGTGTACATTAATAGGACTTAATAAAACACTAAAGACTCCCTCTTTATATGATACGCCGTTCTTGCACACGACTCGAACTTGTAGATAATCAAAGCAATTCCTCCTCCGCACTCTTGGACTTCCTCCAATGTTGAACTTCCTTCAAAAGGCGGATCGACCTCTCCCGAGATCTTTTAAGCACTTCTCCCGAAACGTCGATCTTCTTTATGGCCTGGTAGAAGAAACCTGTTCTGTTGCCACACCTGCCGTGCAGACAGGGCTGCAGCACGGGCTGCACCCTTCAAAGCCTTTATGCTGGGATTTTTCTTATTAAAGCTCCATGGGACTCATATGAGGTTGAGGGCCTTATATAGGCACGAAATCCACCACCATAAACCTAACTTGAGCCCTAAGAAATCGATTAACTAGGTAATATAATCCTAGTCGATTTCTACTTCTATTCTAGATAAATACAAAAGATTCTTAACTAGAATACAATACATGGAAATAAATCTAAGTCCTAATAACAATATTACAAAAATAGGACTCTAATTAATTCCAAAATAAACATGGAAAACAAATCTTTGCCAATCTTTAATTTCCACGTATGACGGATTTCTTCAATCTTCACTAACGGAAATTTGGTGCCAACACAAAATATAGAAGCTGGAACTTGTCAAGCTCACCAAATATGTCTGGCTCAGATAGAATTCGACTCGTTTACGCTCCTAGCTTTGCAAAACTATATTTGCATTAATTGCAATTATGTCGTATAAAGTAGGGTATGCATGGAGAATCCAGTTATCAAAAGGTTATGGGGATCACTATTTCAAATCCCAACTTTTGCTTACTTGAATACCAAAAAAATAAAAAATAAATAATTAATTGTAAATTACTTTAATACCCTTAATGAAATTAAAACTAAAAAAATATTACAAATACTATTTTTCTTTCTTAAATACCAAATAATCAAAAACTCAAAAAACCATTTCCCTCCTTCTCCACCTCCTTCTTCTCCCTCCCCAAAAACCCTTCTAAAAAATCTTCCTCACAACAAACCCTTCTAAGAAATCTCACAACAAACCCTTCTAAAAAATATCAAAACTAAAGAAATTAAAACCTCACAAAACGTATAAAATTGAGTTATAAGACAATAATATGGTAGTATATATGAAAGGAGAACACATTAAGGTAAGTATCGATGTCTTTTTTGAGCTTCGAAGTCGATTTTGAAGTTTTTTTTTTTTGAAATCCGTCGGCAATTTTCGACACATACAGGTCGATTTTTTGGTCAATTTTCGACACCAACGTGTCGAAAAAGAAAAAAAAAAAAAAAACCAAATTTCGACACCTACCTGTCGAAAATTGTCCAAATTTCGACAGGTATGTGTCGAAAAAATACTGTTGGTAAAAAAAAAAAAAAAAAAAAAAAAATTTCAACACCAACCATGAAAAAAGTACCCAAATTTGGACAGGTAGGTGGACAAATTTAAAAATTTTCTTTTTTGTTTTTTTTTTTTCTTTTTCGACACGTTGGTGTCGAAAATTGACCAAAAATCGACCTGTATGTGTCGAACCTTGCCGACGGGTTTCACAAAAAAAAACTTCAAAATCGACTTCGAAGCTCAAAAAAGACATCGATACTTACCTTAATGGCTTCTCTTTCCACATATACTACCATATTATTGTCTTATAACTCCATTTTATAAGTTTTGTGAGGTTTTGATTTTTTGAATTTGGAGATGTTTTGGAGGATTTAAGAAGATGAAAAAGATAGGGTTTAATTGGGTTGTCGCGGCAGTTACGAGCACGTACGGTGGCGTTCGGCGGCGGCGGCGTCGGCGGCGGCGGCGGCGGTCAGGGTTGGAGAGGAGAAGAAATGGTGGAGGTTTTTTTTTTTAACAACAAAGGGTTTTTTTCTTTTTTTTTTATTTGGTTTTTGAATAGGTAATTTCTAATAAAATTTGATATAATTGATATTTTGTATGAAAGGGTGTTTTTGTAATTTTCTTTTTATTTTGGTTTTAAAGTAAGAAAAAACTTATAAATATGTACTCAATTGTGGTTTTCAACTAGGTAGTATTCAACTAAGCAAAAATTAGTATTCAAAATAGTTGCCCCCAAAGGTTATTAGGGTGTAGACTTGGCCAACCCTTTGTCACATAAGCTTGACGATTATTGATTTTTATTTAAAAAATGCAGCTCCGCCAACTTTTCTGTATAAATAATTATCTATAATTTAACATAATTAAATAATATATAAATAAGTTCCAAATTAAATGAATAGTTGTAGATAATTATACATTACAATTTTAAACATATGTTTTAAATTCAGGTCATATCCACTAATTAATAAATCTAAATAATTATTTTTATATTAATGTAAAGTAATATTTCTTAAGCATATAATAAGTTTTAGGTGACATTCTTATAGTAATATTTAACTTGTGCAAATATATTTAACATTCATATAAAGGGTTGGACCCGAACAGTTCGCCTGGCGGAGACGGTTTTATTGAGCATTTCTATGTCGCATGCTGGGATATTATTAAAGTCTAACTAATCGACTTTTTTCGAGGGGATCACGTTTTCTGAAAGAGATGAATTGAATTTAACCACTTTGGTTTTAATTCCTAAGATTGAGAATGCTTGGACCGTTGGTGACTATAGGTCAATAAGTCTCGGTAATTTTTTCGGAAAACTCTTGGCTAAAATCCTTGCTACTAGATTGAGAAAAATTCTTCCGTTTTTATAATTTCAGAGGAGCAAGCAGGCTTTGTCAAAGGCCGTAATATTTATGTCGCACATAGTCATGGCTCAACAATTGACGCGTGATATTAATCGAAAGTG